CTGAACGATGTCTGTGCACTTGAAAGTGTCTATTATACACACCTTCAAAAAAATCCTCAAAAAGTAACTTTATCTCAACAATTCAAAGAAAAACAAATAATTCACGAACCAACAAATTGAACTCGAATCTTATTGGACCCTCTGATAGCTGATATGCTCAACCATAACCTGCTGCGCATACATTTTACGGAGATTTGAAACTCAGAAATGGTGTGTACTTCCGTCTGTACTTCCGGATTTTCTTCTCAGAAAGCATCCGTTTCCTGTTTGCTTCCTTCAGTGTCTTCAACTGTACTGATGCGTTTACAACCCTACATACGGTTCGGAGTCATGGCGTATTTCAGAGTTGTAGAACTTCCTCTGGAAATGTGCGACTTCCGAAATTGCTGAGTAAGACGGCAGAACGCCCTCAACTTACCTAAATGCTAATACTCCTTACTTTAGCGGCACTTTGGCGACTGTTAACCACCTGCTCCTCTTTACCCCAGAAAAGACATGGAAATAAAAATTTCAACTGCTTTCTGTACACTGCACGGTGATGAGGTGAGCGGAAATAGCTGACAAAATAACATTGGCAGTATGTGGGAACGACGGTAATTACCTGAATGGGAACATTAGATAATCACTGGGAAATCTAGAGAAACTCCCAACTTACAACGTAAGTTTGAACAAATATTGAAATATCCGAGTCTGGTTGGAGATATCTAACGACAATATGTGTTGCTACAGTTGAAACACACCAGGAACATACGAAAAACATCACCAACATTATAAAAGATCGCATCATCTGGAAGTTCAGTGATAATTTGACGAGTACGACGTCAAAGCCAAAAAAAATTCATTTCATCTCATAGTTCCTACTGAAGAACACCCACAGTTCCGCACATTTTGCCTTTTCTATTGGTTTTCTGTATTTCTGCTCTGTTTGTTGGATCTTCTTTCCACTGTTGAAAATGAAACTTTTGCTTCCTGCCGTCCATGCAAACTAAGTGTCACTTCGGCTAATTTCATGAAGACCGGAAGTTGGTCCTACCCACGAGGACACCATTCTCTCATCCCCATAACCGCGAGCCCTCTCCGAGAAAAAACTTCTTCAATGTGGCCCGATAAGCACAAAGTAAGTTTCTAAGCCACTGACAGAATGGTGTTCTTCTGCAGACCCGATACCCCTCCAGTAGAGAGAGACGCGAGACCTGAGTCTTAGTAATATCGTAGCCAACGCCGTCGTTCTAAGTTGCCCAAATCTCTGCTGAATATGGGATGGCCCTTGGTTCCCCTACACAAGAAAGCGCTGCTCTTTCTGTCCATGGCTAGGCCTTAATCGAGTTGACTGACTGGTCAAAGTGATTGTTTTGTCACCATGTTTAACGTCGAAGGGGTGAGTTTTCCTGGACTCCATTTTTTTAGCATTCTTTCGGTATTGTATCTCACTTCCTCCTCTGGATTGTATTGCTGCAGTGCTATCTTGATAAAAACTGATAAAGCACATAAAATAATAAACACATGTAAGGATAAATAAACTTCACTTTGAGCTCCGAAGAATATGAGGTTCGCGAGGTGGTGGAATGCCTTGAAGCTGAAATCGAATTATAAGTATTTACATTGTTACTGTATTCAATTTATGGAAATAATTATGTAGGCCTAGTCATGTTTACTGCCCAAATACCATTTTCACGCAACATTTTTTTTGCACTACTCTAGACCATCCTTACTCGTGTACATTAAACATCTTGACATTATTGTGAGCTGTG